GATAATCGCAGGTAATAGAAAGATGGTTGTATTAAAAAAATGTCAAAGTTAATAAAAACTCAAATTAAAAAGAATGAGTGAAATGAAAATAAAGACATAAATTAACATATTCATACAAACTAAAAAAACTCTATATAACTTATCTAATAAATTTCGAAATTTAGTTTATTAAATAAAATCTTATTATTGAAAAAAATTTCTTTATTATAAAAGTTTTTTACAACTCTCTTTTGAGAAAAACAAAGTCACACAAAAGTTTGACTTAACATGTGTGTGACGAAAAGATCGAAGATTTATTTGATTTTTTTTTAATTTTAAAATATTATCTCAGATATAATTTTTTTTAGAAAAGTTTAAAATTTTTTTAATAATTAAATTTTTTTAAAAATTAAATAAAAGAACATGACATGAGTAATTATAAAAATATTTTAAAATACAATTAAAAAAAATCTTAATTTCTTTATCCCATACCAATTTTTTTAATATAAAATTTAACCTTTTCTTTTTTAATGTATGATATATATTTTATTTGTACAGTAGATAACTTAGAATTAAAATAACAGAGGAAGAAGGAAAAAATGAGTCACTTATTATTATTATTATTATTATTATTATTATTATTATTATTATTATTATTATATTTTAACTTTATATATATATAATTTTAAAAGTGAACAAAAAATTAAATAAAAATAGTCATAACATTTCATGTCACCTCTAATTCCGTTCTTAAAGAAGAATCCTAACTAAAGAATGAAATAAGATAATACAGATATAAATTAATTGGGTGGAAACTAATATTGAGTTTTAGTGGTGTGGTTACCCTACTTAACAAGAATAAATGACACCATATATACTATGAAACTAAGCTTGTGAAGAAAGTATCTAGTTGCTATACATATGATATTAATTTGATTAATACTTGAAACCCTTTATTCTCATATTCTTAGTTGAAAAAAAAAAAAGTGTTTTGAATTATGGAAAAGTTGCATCCCTAGCCCTGTCTAATCAAGCTTATAGTATAGTAACAATGATTAAAGTTGTTGTTGATATTTAAAGACACGAGAAGAAGTGGAGAATATAACTCGTGCTGAATCCGTGTCTAACATACATTTTTGTTAGTTGCTTCATATGAAGAGAGTGGAAACAATGATTTTTTTTTTTTTGTAAAGTCACGTCCTTTGCATCCTATAATTAACCATGATCCACTTCGTGACCACCTTTGCTTTTTAGGGTTTATTTGTTTTGCTTTCATTTTAACCTTTTCAATATATTGCCTTTTCAATATATTGCCTTTTCTAAACAAATTAGTTTATTGACGTCATGAATTTAACAGTACAGAACAACCAATTAAATTTATCTATTTATTTTTACTTTAATTTTAAACTAAATCTATGAAATATATTTAGTTTTCAAGTTTCTTTTTTTTTCTTTTTTTTCTTGTAATTTGAACTAACATTACACACAATCTTAGACCTTACTTTTTTTTTTAAATTTATTCTTTATTTTATTGCATCATTCATTGGTTATTTAATGATTTATCCATATCTAACGATTATCTCATAATTTACACAAATTGCTCTATTTTTAAAAACAAATTATCTAACAATTTGATGGATCTTTTGATTATGGTTTAGAATTTTTTGATGACCAATTAATGCTCTATAAATACTGTATTTGTATTTTAAGCTCACCAAATATGTTCTTTTATTCACTATATCATACTGTTAGGGAGTTAATATTTGAAAATAAAAAAATATTTTTTTAGAGAAAATTTGTTTCAGAACAAAAGCAGGAGGTTAGTAAATAAATTTTATGTTTCTATTTTATTATGTTTTACATTTGATATCAAAGCATGAGTTTGCCTTTATCTTGTGTTTGGATGTGTTTTTTTTTAAATACATGTATTAGTATGTTTTATATATTTAGTGTTTTATAATAATTTACCTTGATATTGTTTATTAAATATAAAATTTTCAACTTTAAAAATCACCCAATCAAAATATTTACCATAACTTTTAAATAGGGAAAATAGAATATATATATATATATATATATATATATATATATTAATGCATGTTGTTTTCCATTTGGAATATTCTAAAATTTGATAAGAAAAAGTGTGAATCCGACACCATCTTTCTTAGTTGAATTTAACATGGAGTCCATCGTTGTTGCCTTTTTGAAGTGTGGAAAGGAAAAAGATAAGAGCAATGCATAATTGGAAACGAGACACCATTCTACACTTAGATGCCAACACGTTCATTTTTTTCTTTTAAAAAGAAAAGAAATAGAAAACATGGAAGCAAGAACAAGACATTTGATTTCTTTGTGCCTTAAACACGAGTTTAAAAAGCGACATATTATACCTTTCATTTCATGTTCCTTTCTTAACTCAATCAAATATCAAAATCAAGTGTTCCTTCCTTCTACTTTCGCCCTAAAAGCATCTTCCAAAACCTTTACAAAACAACTCCTATACTAATTATTAATAACGATGATGAATAACAAAAAATATTAGTAATACTGGAAAGTCTTCTGCCTCCTTAAGAAACTTCAGTGTGAAGTTAATTCTTTCGTCGCGTATAATCTTTTATATATATAATATATATAAACATATATACTATTCATGAAATCTCCCATTAATTATAAATATAACAATACTAACTACATACGTGAGTATAAATTTTATTTTATAAGATTATTTGTGTAATATTAAATTAGGTATTTATTATTTTTAATATAATATTAATTTTAATAATATTAAGTTGATTTTTTTTCTCAAAATAAAATATCATGGAATAATATACAAGATTAAATTTTATCTGATTCATTAAATCTCTCTCTCAATCTTTAATATAATATCAAAATCGATTGACTAAATCTTTCTCTCAATCTTTAATATAACATCACAATCAAGAAAAAAAAATTAAAATTTGAATTATGTAACTTTCTATTTTAATAATAAAATATATTCGTTTTTATTATTAACAATTCATAGTATTAGATTAAAAACAAATAATAATAATAATAAATAAATAAATAGATGAATAGAAAATAAGATTGTTGTTCATGTATTTGATAAGAGGAGAAGAAAAAGTTTTTTTTTTTCGTTTAATGGTGTAGAAAGTCAAATGAAGTTAAATAAAATGAAGCTTCCACAGGAACAAAATTAAAGAAAAACATTTATTAGGTTTCAATTTTTCTAATTATTATTATAATCATTACATTAAAAGAAAAAAAAAATCTAGTTTACCTCATTAAATATTAAAATACTTAGACCCGTCTTGAAGTAGTAGTTAGTGCAGCCACCGGGTTTACTTTTTTTAACCTTTTGCTCACGTCCCCACTAAGTTCTATGATGATTAGATGCAATTTGTTATGATGTTTCACTACTAATTAAGATATTACATAGTATTTAGGATAATAATCTCCTAATACGCTTTCGGTTTTTAATGCTTAAGCAAAGTGAACAAGTTCAAGCCAACAACAATATAAAATTTACTTAAACCTTCTTAAAGTACAAGTATGCGCACGCTGATTTGAATTCCATACATAATTATCGGCGCAATCACTTTTAACCTCTTAAAACATGCATTCATAAACAATAATTACATTAATTATTATCTAAAATGCACTCGAATCAGAGGCTAGAAATAAAATTAGGTCATAAAAATCGTACTCTACCTAAACCTAATTGAATATTTTTTGTTGGATATGAGTGCAACAATTACCCGCATGAACGTTGTAAGTCATTATAGCATAATAACATCATTAAGTGTGTACTGTGTATCTGGATATGCATTCACTGGGATCACCTAAAAAGGTTGGGTATGGAAATTAATAAAATCATTCAAGGGTCTCACTCTACTCTATTTTATGTGGATTACGTTGTAATAAACCTACCAATAATTGTAAATAAATAAAGTTATGCCACAATATTAATTGTCCTTAGGTAAAGTAGGTGCAAAATATTTAATTAAACATTCAATAGTTCAGATAAGACAGATTTTTATTTTGTTCAATTCCAATACACCTCACCCCCTTGTCATTAATCTTCTTCAACCCAGGGAAACTTCATAAGTACAAATTTATTGACATACTCAAAATCATTTTTTGGACTTTTTACTCAACATTTTTAAAGAAATGTCTCAATTCAATTGTTACACTTTTGACTAGATTGTTAGCTTTATTGCTGCATATATATAATAAAAAGAACCAGGCCTCTATAACTTTTAATAACAAATTAACTTATTTAAGTACAGACATTTGATTGATTCACAATAACTTACCCCAATAATAATTTTGTTCTTACAAATTTTATATTATTAAACTGTATTTTATCAGTCTTCTGTTTTATTATGATTCATACTCACTATTTTTTCCTGCTTTTGAATTTGAGTTCAATATCAATGCTAATTTTTTTAGACAAATAATAAATATAAAATAATTACTTGATATATGATTTTTAAGAGTTATTATAAAAATAAATAAATAAATAAATATGTGATTATAATAATACATTCATGATACATATTAGAATTGTGAAACAGTATCTAGTAAATTTTTTTAAAGAATCATATATATATATATATATATATATATATATATAAACATTTTAAACTTATTTATTTATTAATTAATATCATTTATGGAATAAATTAATTAAAGTACTTAATTATAATTTATTAATATTTATTATTTAAATTATAATATATTTATATATTCAATGTATAATATATAAATATATGATATTTTAAATTATAATTTTTTATAATACAAATATTTTAAAAAAATTAGGGAAACGGTCATTTAATTGATAAATTAGATAAAATATATTGATAGAAAAATTTACCAATTAACCTTTAATTTAAGATGGGTTAACTACCTGTCCTTATTGTATATATTTTTAATATTAAGACTCTTTTTACACGCAGTAATAATTTAATGGAAATATAGAGTATAGACTTGCACGCGCTAGAGTTGGCGTAAATGAAAATTCACTGATTAAGTTCTGTTGGAGCCCACCTGATAGCCCGCGTGGTTGAGGAAGCCCAGTTTATTGGTTTATTTGGGCTTTTGGATCTAAGTTTTCGTGGGCCCCACCCTAACACCCCTTTTACCTTTTTCCCTAACCGATTTATAAGGAATTACAAATCTGACAAAAAAAAAGGAATTAATTGAAGATTAATAATAAAAACGTTTCTAGATGTAACATTTATAGAGTTGGGTTGATTCAAATTTCAGTTTAGATATATTGTAGATAACTAATTACACTGATTAGAGTGTTAATCTAATTAGCATTGTAGTGGATAAAGTGATGTCTTACATTTTTTTTAATTAAAAAAAGTTAGATAATACCTTAAATGCAGAACCATTAACATGTGATTAATTTATATGGCCTCGATTTGTATATGTTAATTTTCCTTTTCCATGATTAGGGCAGTCATTGGTGATTCGGGGAGTTGAAGGGAATGTGGCAGTATCTACTATTTAATGAGTTTGTCAATTCAAAATATACTCAAATTATTGCTTTCTCTTGACCCTACATTAAATTAATTAATTAGCTTTACATTTGTAAATGGAAAATCCTTATAATTTTCATTTCCTATACTTATACTAAATTTTTATTTTTTTTATTATTATTATGTACACTTTTTACAGTCTAAAATATAAACAATAGAAAAATATTAATTAATTTTTTTACTGTATTTCTAAAAATGCTAATGGAGAAAAAATATATCTCTTAAAAAAATTATTGAGATGAAAAGAGTTAGGATCTTTTATGATATCCTCTCTCTCTCTATATATATATATATATGTGTGATTTTATTTTATTTTTTATATATTCCATACCGGTGACAAAATTAGTGATTTACCTGTTCAAATAATAAAAAGATAGAGTGGAATATCCAGATTGAGAGAGAATGGGAAGAGAACAAATAATTTTGTTTGTTGGATTAATGATAAAATGAAAAAAATATAAATAAAAAATAGTAACATTTATTGTATTATTTTTTATTTATTTTTATTTTTATCAAATTAATTAACTAATGTTTTTTAAAACCTATTATCAAATTGATGGTTGAAAAATATAATATCATAAACAATACTAAAAACTCAAAGTAACATATTTTGATTGTTAGAGAATATAATAATATCAAAACTCAAAGTTGTATATTCTATAAAATTTTAGCATTTAAAGTGCATAATAAAATCAATATATATATAATAGTATTTAAATATAATATTTAATAATACATAATAATATTCTTTTAAAATAGCATTTTTTTACTTTATTATATATATATATATATATATGAGAGAGAGAGAGAGAAAATAACATTTACAAATATATTTATTATGAATATTTAAATCGATTCTTAATTCATTTTTTGACTATTTTATTTAATTTTTATTATTTCATCTCTGACTTTTTTTGTTATTTATATTTGTTATTTATTTACTATATTTTTATATGCTTTACAATAATTGATGATAGTGTGGTTTTAATCTATTCTAATTAAATAATGTGATCTATTCGAAGATAATATTTAATTTTTTAATTATTCTTTTATTTTCCTTTAAAAAGTATCACTATATATATATATATATATATATATATATATATATATATATATATTATAATGATACAAATGAATGATATTTTTATACTTATTTTTATTTTTTATTATAATATTTTGTTTGATTTTTTTAATATAGATATTATATATAATTATGAGTAGGTAAAAATTATAGAAAAAAAAACAATTAAGTGGATTAATTCAATAGTAATAATTGAAAGAAAAATTAATAAAATAAAAAGTAATTAATAATTTTATCCATGACTAAGAACACGTGTTAATCAAATAGGTGATTTTAATGGATTATATCAATTTATTGATTTTTTTGTTAAATTATATAAAGAAAAGGGATTTTTAACAACTAAAAACCATCATTGATATATTATAGAATCTACGCTCCCAGTTGGAATAATTAGAAATCTTGATATATATTTTTAAATTGGATTTTTGATAATATATATATATATATATATATATATATATATATATATATATATATATATATATATATTCCAAATTTACCTTCCAATTGAATTAAAATCAAATTTATAAAAAAAATGAAATCTTGAAATAGTGATGAATTATGCCCATAAAAAAAACTCCATAAATACAAAAATATTATTTATAAAAAAATTATAAATTAATAATTGCTAACAGAAATATAGAAAATTAAAAGAATTTGAAAGGATAAACTTAAATAAAAATATGCAAGATGTATCTAAAATTGAAAATGGAAACATCTGTAATCATTGCACAAAAGAGTTTGAATTCAAAATCTAACAAAAGGATAAGTTAAGTCACTCTCATTCAAATTATAAACTAATAGATAGGGATAGATGTAAGCTCACACAGCAATTATTATATGCTGAAATGGTAACAGGTTTAAGTTTTTCTAACAACAAAATCCAGGTTACCTTTTTTTATTATTATTAATTCAAGAGTAACTTTTAGATGATTTTTTTATATAAATAAAATGAAATTAAGCAAATGTTATTATGAAACATATGATATTATTTTCATAATTATTTATGTCTAATTAAGAAAATTATATACATGGAATAATTGTAGTTAGCCGTCGTTTTCTAATTCCACAAGTTCACATTTTAATTGTTATTTTCTATAATAATTTGTAAATATATTTTAATCTTGAATATTAATTTATAGCTGACCTTTTTTTATGTTTAAAAGTATACATCAATATTTTATTATGTATATTGAAAGGATATATAATTTGATATAAATAAAATTTTCAAAAGAATAAGTAATTTTGAATAAATGTTTTATATTATAAATAAAATTCATGATACAATATTTGTAGATGTATAGTATGTTAGTATATACCATATTTTTCGAAAGTTAAAAGAGAAGAAGTCTCATTTAAACTAAAAATACATTTAAAATCATTTGTTGAAAAAATATCAACAAAAAATTATAATAAAATCAATTGCGTCCACAACAAACCTTTTAAGTCAATTACAATTTCAACTCATGATTAGAAAAACAATAATAATCCATTTCACTTCAAAAGAAGCAAATCCTAAACTATCATTTTTTTTAAATCGATATAATATCTCCCATGAGAACTACCTATGCAATTCATAATAAGTATTGATAAGTTTAATTTATTTTTAAAATATTTTCTTTTACCTTTTTTTTTTTTTCAACCTAACATTTTTAATAACTAATTTACAACTAATTATCAAATTAAAATACAAACAAGGAGGAAATAATGAATAATGTTAGATATTTAATCAACATAATCTTAGTTAAAGTTTTCGTTAAATTTGTTTGGACCTTTAAAAATAATCAAAATAAATAATAACGATAAGTTAAAAGAACAATCTAATACCGTTTCTCACATTTTGTTTTTTGTATATATAGAAAATGATTTTTGTAATTATAATAAAAAAAGGATTCTACTTTTTAAAAAGATGAAATTTTTAATCTGTTATACATAACACCAATGAGAAATAAAAGAGAGAGAAAAAAAATGTTTGACTGTATTTGAAAATGGAATTAAATATGATACAACATAGTGTGTGGTTACAAGTGGGATAGAATTTACAAACCACCCAGCACAAGCTGAGTCACTCCACATTGCCCAACCTATTTCTAGATATTTCTCTGTTAAAAACAAAACAAAACCAACTCTTTTAACTGAAGCTCATAACACGTTTGATTATTTGCTTAAGTAACCAATTCACAAGGAATAATAATTTTCTTCAACCCTCTTACTCTTAATCAATATTAACACATAAACTGAACTATTGTATAATAAATGTCCCTACTACCATGGTTGCTTCTGTTTTCACCACTTGGATTTCGTCCATATAAAATTCCTTGTATGATGCAACAGGATATATATGTGTGTGTATATATATATGTATATATATATATATACACACACACACATATATCCCCATCCTTCTCAGTCTCTCTCTCTGTGATGAATGCTGATTTAGCCCCGTAGTTGGTGCTCATCCTCCCGCTTAACCCTCCTCATATTCAACCGTACCACACACACACTCTCTATAACATAGTGAGAGAAAGAAATATCATTGTTGATACTGGATAACACCCTCTTAATCCACTCCAATTTTCACGCAAATTTTTCTCACACAAGCCTAATCCTCCTTTAGATAAGCCTCAAAAAAATTTCAACTCACCTCACCCCAATTCTACTTCAAACCAAGAGTAGAAAGAATTAGAGAGAGAGAGAAAAAAGAAAGCTTTCTCCAAAGTGGTTTCTTGTTACCCATTTATTTCTGTCTCAAACTTCACCTGACTCTCTTCCCCGGTCAGAAAGACTAATTCTTTGAAATACTGAGTTACTGATATAGTTTTAGAAGTGAATTATTGTCTGTGTGTTTGTTTCTATTTCTTCTTCATTGCATTCTTGATGGACTATTGTATAAGAGAAATAGAGGGAAAGCAAGCACATGACCCTTTGTTCAACAAGTTATCATCTTCTTCAACGGTGTGGGTTGAAGGGCCTGTGATAGTAGGAGCTGGGCCCTCAGGGCTTGCAGCAGCCGCATGTTTGAGAGAGAAAAGCATCCAAAGTGTGATTCTAGAAAGATCCAATTGCATAGCTTCTCTGTGGCAGCTCAAGACCTATGATCGCCTACGCCTTCACCTTCCAAAGCAATTCTGCGAGCTCCCCTTCATGCCCTTCCCTTCCCACTTCCCCACATACCCTTCCAAGCAACAGTTCGTGGAGTACTTGGAAACTTACGCGCAAAAGTTCAAAATTAGACCAAGGTTCAATGAGACGGTGCAGCATGCAGAGTTTGACGCGAAACTCGCGCTGTGGCGGGTGAAGAGCCTCGACAAGGCGGAGAACACGACGGAGTACATGTGCCGGTGGCTGATCGTGGCCACCGGCGAGAATGCCGAGGCGGTGGTGCCCGATATAGAAGGGGTACAAGAGTTTGGTGCGCCCATTAGACACACGGGTTTGTATAAGAGTGGAGAAGAGTTCAGAGGGAAAAGGGTTTTGGTGGTGGGGTGTGGAAATTCTGGCATGGAAGTTTGCTTAGATCTTTGCAACCATAATGCTACTCCTTCACTTGTCGTCAGAGACACAGTAAGAACTCCAAATCTCTCTCCCTCTCAAAATCAAAATGGTTATGAAAAAAAAAAAATGTATTTTATCTTCTTCTTCTTCTTCTTTCCCAAAGTTCATGTCCCTCCTTATTTGGAATTTCTGATTTAAATACGAGAAAGTTTCCTTCGCAACAAAACGCCCACTTTTCTGATTTCGCTTTTTTAATCTCCTTGTGTTGTTGTGTTGTGACTTTTGTCATGTTTCGCTTGCAAAGCCTTAGATGGTGTTTTTAATTTTCTTTCTCATGCAAAAATTTCATAAAATATAATGCTCATGGTTCGTTTACAAACTTTCACATCACTATCTGCAATCGGAAAAACGAATTTGCAAGCGCCTTTGTCTCGTTCTGAAACAATGAAAACTTTATAAATTAGTCAGTATATATATATAAACTTCATATACACAATTTACAAAACCCAAACCATCGTTTCGTTTTTGCCTTACCAGGCTTCAAGTTCCAATGGATTCTTAAAAAATGATCTCAGAAGCTTTTTAATTTTAATTTAATATTCTTTCTATTCACATAAAAAAAAATAGTATTCTTTTGAGGAACACAAGGCATAAACTTGATCTTGCACTTTCTTGGTTTTTAAATTTTTTTAATGAAGCATGCGCAACATAGGTGAGAGTGTGATGAGTGATGAGCGATTAACTTTTTCATTATTTTGAACACCAAACTTATTTTTCTAACTGCTTTCCCGAAAAAATCAAGAGTTGAAAGGCGTCGTGTATCAACTCCCACCTTTTGTTTTTTTAACCTGAGGAGTGAAGTTGATTCATTTTTACATTTTACATTTTTTGACTGTAGTAATTAACATAAAAAAAGTGTTTGTGTGTTTGGTTTGGTTAAGGTACACGTCCTACCACGAGAGATGCTGGGAAAATCAACTTTCGGGTTGTCCATGTGGTTGCTGAAGTGGTTACCCATGCGACTTGTCGATCGATTCTTGCTAATGGTGTCATGGCTTATGCTTGGTGACACTTCTGAATTGGGATTGGATCGACCGTGTTTGGGTCCCCTCGAACTCAAAAACATGTCAGGAAAGACCCCTGTGCTAGATGTGGGTACCCTTGCCAAGATTAAAGGTGGAGACATTAAGGTACTTCCCTTTTTATCAAATCAATTTCAACTTTCTTTTTTACTCTCCACCCTCACAACACAACTCACGAACATCTTATTTACTTACTTACCTACACCACACACACACAGATGCTTTTTCTAAATGGTGCTACCTAATTTTTTCTTTTGCTTTTCATCAAGTGCTGCATAAATAATTAAATCCCTTCTTTAGATTTTGATTTTGCATCATTGTGCGTTTCATCAAATCGTGGGCGGAAAGCACAAGGTTTAGATTAATGATAAATATATATCCGAAAGCTAGTCGACAAAAGACTCTAATCACTAATCATTGTTTTGATGACGTTTGGTGGTGTTAATTATTTTCTTGGTTAGATTGGTTGTTTGAAATCAAAGCACAAATGAAATCTGAGTGTGTCAAACTCAAATTTGATGTAGGTACGTCCAGGCATTAAGCGGCTTAAACGTCACACAGTGGAATTTGTGGATGGAAGGGCAGAGAATTATGATGCAATCATATTGGCAACTGGTTACAAAAGCAATGTGCCCTATTGGCTTAAGGTGTGACACATGACACTTACCCGTTCTTCTTCTTGTATTAAATACAACAACATGTTTATTTTTTTCAATCACTCAAAAATTCTGAAATAAAACTTGAATGGTGGAAACTGTGTAGGACGAAGATATGTTTTCTAAGGAAGATGGGTATCCTATGAGGCCATTTCCAAATGGGTGGAAAGGTAAAAATGGTCTCTATGCTGTGGGTTTTACCAAAAAGGGACTACTCGGTGCATCCATGGATGCAAAGAGAATAGCTCAAGACATTGAATGGTGTTGGGAAGCTGAGGCAAATCATAGAACTGCTTTTGCACGCTCACACTTGCCGCAACCAAATTCATAGTTGGTACTAGTTTGGTTTTGGCTAACTGCAAACACACATATCACAAGAGAAAAGCTTCATCCAAGAAAGAAAATCATAATTGATGTTTGGGTTTGGCTATAAGAGGCAAAAGAGAAGAGATTGAAGTTGGTACACAAATGGAAACGGAGGATATTGGTGGTATTACGCTGTCATGTGTGTACAATGCTAGTACCAAATGATGCTCCTCCAATATCCCCATGCATGGATGAAGTGGGCAAAAGTGATGCAAAAATGGGGATTTTACTTTCATGCCCTTCAGCTTAATTTTGATGGAACCGTTTGGAGTTGAGAGAACAAGATATTGAATTGAAGTTGAAGGAAAGAAAGAGGGTGGATTTTTCTTGGGGGGACCTAGATTAGGTCCTTGGTTCTTATGTACGTTTTGTACATTGCAATTTTTTTTTTTTTTCTTAAGTAGGTTTGACTTACAAAAGAGAGAGAGAAACAGAGTAAAAGGACATGGTTGAAAAAACTGAGATTTCAGTTTAACCTACAGTTCCTTCTTTTTTTCTTTCCCTTTTTCTTAGGAGAATAGAGCATAACATTTTGATGTGTTTTTGGTTGCCTGTTTGGCTCTCTCTGAATGCTTAAGAGTTTGGCTTGCAGTTATCTTTCTGCAGTTTGTAACTAAACTTTGGAGGAAAAGAGCAAAAGTTAAATTAAATGATAGGGAAAAAAAGAAGTTTTAGCTTGGGATGAAGTGCTAGATTGTGTACCATTTTGATTGCCACTTCCATGCAATTTCATTGTCGAAATGATTTCATTCCAAGTAGGAATCAGGACCACTCTCGCTTTTGATCAGAAGCTTGAGAATGTGCGTTTGGAAACAGCCAGAAACAATTAATTTCAGGGAATTGCAGTAGAATTTGTTATCACATTTATTACCAACTCACCAACTTTATTAAATTGACACTCTTATAACGATTCAAGCAACGGGAAGTGACTGCAACAAACAAACAAGCATATGTGGTGGTGGCTTTTGCATCAATCACAAGCAACCACCCTTTTATAATATAGAATATACACCCTATTAGATCAACTACAACATGGAACCATGAATTTGGAGGCTTTATTACTGTGTAATTGAAATTAACAACACAGAAACTCATACTTCAAGATATATCCGTTTAAGTTGTAAAAGGAGTTTCATTTTCATATGGGTTTAGGATGCTTTATCAGAAATTGTGCAGTGTACTAGAGAGTGACACAACCCTACCTGTTTATATGCAAGTTGAGTAAGATATCGAAGTGGTAAAACTAGAGGTAGTCACGTTGATTTGATATGATCTGAGTGATTGTTGTAATGAGAATAAGAAAAAGGGGAAACTAAAACTATTTATGGATCCTGAAAAAGAAAAAAAGTGTAACAGGGTATGGGAGGGTCAACGTCATTGTAGTGTGAAACTGTGAATTGTGTGTTTGTTTATGATTGCATTAAATTGATGGTTCTAAAGAAGGTAGCGTTAATTATAGAAGAGAAGTTTGATTTTACTCCAAATTTAGGACAACAGTTTGTGATCTCAACGTGACCCCCCTCGTCAGAAAAAGGAGGAGTCATATCAAATCCTTGCTTTGCTTTTTTCCTCCAGTAATGTTACTGTTATTTAAGCATTATGAGGGTCGCACATCACTCCCATCATTATTCATAGCTCCCTAATAATGCTGAAAACAAATCAAAAATACTTTTTTTTTTATATAAATAATTACACTTCTAAGAATGAGTTGGAATTATACATTAAAAAAAAAGGTCAATTTGAATAATAAAAGTATTAATAGTTTAAGTAGAACATAATATCATATATTTTTATATATGATTTATTTTTACAGGTATTCAACATAAATCACTTATATTATATACGAAAGGTTTTGCAATCAAAATATCTTTCCAAAGTTAATAAACAAATACCTAAGAAACAGGAAAAAGATAAGCAAAAATAAAGGGGAAAACTCAATGGAAGTTCTTAAACATAAGTCAATATTCATATGGGAACGTTTAATTACGACCGGGTAAAACAGGGTTAATGTTTCACTAATTATAATCCTGTATACGTTTATTCTGTTAAAATTTTTATTATGATCCTTCAAAATTCAGCAAAATAATAAAATAATTTATTAACAAATCATGACATATATGTCTATCGAGTTAATATATACAGTACTATACGTAACTGATTATTTTAAATAATGATAAATAATTAAAAAATAAATTTAATTTAATTTTTTCTTAATCTAAATAATTTGACTTATTTTTATTTAAAAGATTGCAGTGTTTTATAACAGCAATATTGTGACATTTGTTAACCAAAAGGGGAATAGGATAAATTTCTGAGCTTAGCCAGTTGGGGAAATAAATGCTGCAAAAAAAAAATGATGAAGAGTGATTCATGCAGAGTTGCATGCATGCAACATCTGTGAAGTATATAGACATGAATAATGATGTGTACTAATGATGTAGAAGAAGAATGTGTGAGAATATTTGAGAATGGAAGAATGAGATTAGAAATGGTTGTTGATTTAGGATTTTGAAAGTTTTGAGGATATAATTGTGTGACAGATGCGACATCTTAGACCTTTCGTCTTATGCACATATTTATGTTTAATGAAGACAAACAGAAGAAGTGATTCACCCAAAAAGAGAAATAAAAAGAGAAAAAGAGAGGTTACCAAATTTCAATTGACATCTTGCCTACAAAATCATTCACTCCTCTTTCTTGGGCCCATCTTTAAATGTTCTTCTCCCTTCTTCACTCTCTTATCATTTCTTACACCCCCCTTATCATTCTTTACACCACATTATTTTTTTTTCATTTTCATCTTTTAACTAAATTTAATTTAGTAATTCACAATTTCTCCCAAAAAAATCTATCCTTGAATTTAGAGATAATTGATGTGAAGAGTATTTTAAATTTTATTATAAAATTAATCTTTATTTTCCTTGATTAAACTTAACCTATATTTATTTTTATATTAAGATATTATTTTATATGTTATGATAATATTATTAGAGTTTATTATTATTATTATTACTCTAATTTATTATAATTTTAATTTTAAAAATGTTTCATTTAAAAAAGAAAAATATATATAAACTACTATTCATTTCAATTTTTAAAATTACATAAAAACCATGAAAATATACTAAAATAATATTAAAATTTTACATTTTAAATTAGACCTATATTCATTTTCCAATATATCTAAACCATTTAATTAAACATTTATCTATTCTAACGATAAACTATATCTTCACATATCGAACTTCTATTTCACAGACAAACAAAATTAATTATATGGAGTCATACTTTGTGTTAATTAGAAAAAACCAAATGAAACAATTGGCAAAGAGGAGTTGCAGAATTTATACGCACCTTTCCCATTTGCCTTAGCCTTTGTCTTCAATTTGCATGCTACTCTACAAAAACATCTTTCACCGAAACTGTTTGGTCATTCAACCAATAATATACTTAACCCTAACCCTAAAAACTCTCTTCTAAATATGCTGCTATTTATACCCACATGATAAATTTCCATCAAATTGAAAATTATAGGGTTCATGTGGATGTGTAAGTGTTGGGAATCTACTTCAGGTTTTAATCAAAAGCAAAACGCAGATTTGGTCCTATCAGCCACCTCTAAGCAATTGTTTTTGGTAGGATTTTCAACATAGATTACAACTTCAAATTTTGTAATTTGGATCATTCACTTAGTATCGAATCATTCACATAGTATCGAGCTTGCTATTTCACCAAAAGTTATAACTATTACTTAGACTGCAATTCTTTTTATGTAAAAATAACAATATCACAATTTGATCGTGTACTACAAGAAAAAATACATTTAGCCACCAAAATTAGCGATCAAATTTTTTCGGTCGCAATTAGCGACCAATTTAATTTTAGTCGTATTTAGAGACCGATTTAGCGACCACTTTAATTCAGTCGCAAAAAACGACCGATTTAGCGACCACTTTAATTCGGTCGCAATTAGCGACCGATTTAGCGACCAAAATATGATTTGGTTTTCACATTTTTATTTAGCGACTGAAATAGCGACCAATTTTTGTGCGTCGCAAATTTTCAGTCGCTAAATCGGTGGCTATTTCATACATAAATAAATAAATCATTTAGCGACTGATTTAGCGACCGAATTACAAATTGAAATAGCGACCGAATTAAAATCGGTCGCTAATGAGAAAATAATCCATGATTATATCTGATTTTTGCAATATCGCTCAAGCGAAAATAACATCGCTCGAGCGACGCCACTTGCACAAAATTGACATTCTCGGGTTGTATTTCGCTTGAGCGACACTATTCTCGCTCGAGCGACATCCGATTCAAACATGAGACACCCAGGTTACATTATCCGACTAACTTTGATCGACGTTTACGCAGGTCAACATTCGCTCAAACGAAAGTAACATCGCTCGAGCGACGCCACCTGCACAAAATTGACATTCTCGAGTTGTATTTCGCTTGAGCGACACTATTCTCGCTCGAGCGACATCCGATTCAAACATGAGGCACCCAGGTTACATTATCCAGACTAACTTTGATCGACGTTTACGCAGGTCAACATTCGCTCAAGCGAAAGTAACATCGCTCGAGCGACGCCACACCGCACAAAATTGGCATTCTCGGGTTGTATTTCGCTGAGCGACATTGGTCTCGCTCAAGCGATATCTCGATGCAAAAATGTGTCTATAAATAAAATATTTGTCACTTTTAAGAGCGGTTAATATTTTCACCGCTCTTAAAAGTGAACATATAATAGCGGTCCAAATGGAACCGCTATCATATACAACCAGATTTTTTGATTCTGATCGATTAGATTTTCGAAATGATCGATCATATTTGATAATTTTTTCAAATAATTAATTATAATCGATTAGTTTTCTAAATTATTGATTAGAATTGATTAGTTTTTCAAATAATAGATTAAAATTGATTAATTTCTGAAATATATACTAAAAAATTATAATTAAAAATACAAATTATTTAAGAATATTGACTATTGTAAAGATAAAGTAGAACATGGGAGGAGATGAGGATGATAATATAATGATAGAACTTACAAAAATGTAGAATTGAGAAGTTTGAAACAAATAAAATTAAGAAAATAGAGATTTAATTACACTTTTAATAAATTTAAGATAATACTAGTTTTGATTTTTATTTTTAAATATTTATTTTAATTATTTAAAAAAGAGAAACTATAATATTAGTTTCTAAATACTGAATTTAAAGAATTAAATTTATTATTATTTAATCTTTTAATTTTAGTATTAAAAATTTAAATTATATTTTATTAAATTAAAATAATTACAATATATTTTTCTACTTTGAGAATGAACAATATAATTAAACTCAAAATTGACAATATTATAATACATTTTTGAACTCTTTTGGATTAATTTTTTTCCTAATTTTTGATAAAGTTAATTTTAATATTTAAAAGTATTTAACATTTTGAATTCTGAAAGGTTTTCTCTAATAGCAAATTTAAAAACATAATATTCAAAAAATAATTGAGAAGATATAATAAGCGGTTTCACGTTAACCGCTATCTAAAGTATATTTTAGATAGCGGTTAAGGGTTAACCGCTATTAGAAGTGTCCTTTAATAAGCGTGCTCAAGTGGAACCGCTATCATATACAACCAAATTTTTTTATTCTGATTGATTAGATTTTCAAAATGATCGATCATATTTGATAATTTTTTCAAATAATTAATTATAATCGATTAGTTTTCTAAATTATTGATTAGAATTGATTAGTTTTTCAAATAATAGATTAGAATTGATTAATTTCTGAAATATATACTAAAAAATTATAATTAAAAATATAAATTATTTAAGAATATTGACTATTGTAAAGATAAAGTAGAACGTGGGAGGAGATGATGATAATAATATAATGATAGAACTTACAAAAATGTATAATTGAGAAGTTTGAAACAAATAAAATTAAGAAAATAGAGATTTAATTACACTTTTAATAAATTTAAGATAATACTAGTTTTGATTTTTATTTTTAAATATTTATTTTAATTATTTAAAACAGAGAAACTATATATAGTATTAGTTTCTAAATACTGTATTTAAAGAATTAAATCTATTATTATTTAATCTTTTAATTTTAGTATTAAAAATTTAAATTATATTTTATTAAATTAAAATAATTACAATATATTTTTCTACTTTGAGAATGAACAATATAATTAAACTCAAAATTGACAATATTATAATACATTTTTGAAGTCTTTTGGATTAATTTTTTTCCTAATTTTTGATAAAGTTAATTTTAATATTTAAAAGTATTTAACATTTTGAATTCTGAAAGGTTTTCTCTAATAGCAAATTTAAAAACATAATATTCAAAAAAATAGTTAATGTAAGTTTTCATTATGATCGATTATAATTAGAAATGATCGACAATAATTGAGAAGATATAATAGTGGTTCCACGTTAACCGCTATCTAAAGTATATTTTAGATAGCAGTTGAGGGTTAACCGCTATTAGAAGTGCCCTTTTAATAGCGGTTCCAGTGGAACCGCTATCATATACAACCAGATTTTAAGATTGTGAAATCTCGGGTTGTATTTCGCTTGAGCGACACTATACTCGCTCGAGCGACATCCGATTCAAACATGAGGTCACTCATGTTACATTATCCGGCTAACTTTGATCGACGGTTAGCAGGTCAACATTCGCTCAAGCGAAAATAACATCGCTCGAGCGACGCCACCTGCACAAAATTGGCATTCTCGGGTTGTATTTCGCTTGAGCGACATGGTCTCGCTCGAGCGACGCCACCTGCACAAAATTGGCATTTTCGGGTTGTTTTTCGCTTGAGCGACACTGATCTCGCTCGAGCGATATCCACATTTTTTTATTATGATCGATTACATTTTCAAATGATCGATCATATTTGAAAATATATAATAGCGGTTAAGATTTAACCGCTATTAGAAGTGCTATATAATAGCGGTTAAGATTTAACCGCTATTAGAAGTGATATTATAATAGTGGTTAAGATTTAACCGCTATCATATACTACCACATTTTTCACTTTCGTATCTCGCGCCACTTATCCCCAAATAACCCTAACTCTCGTGCCTCACTCACCATTCCTCTTAACCTTGGCCAGTATCTCCTCCTCACTCTCGGCGAGCCCTAGCCCCCTCACTGCTCCCCCCAAGTCAGCCCTCACCCTAATCCAACCTCCACCAAAGCTCCTCGTCAACCGGACGCCACCCTGTGAGCCATCGCACCACACCTCTGTTCTTAACCTCCTCCGCAGCCTCTGACACCCTCAACCAAGGTTTGACTTGTTTTAATGTATATACTGTTATTCTCTTGCATTGTGAATAATATAGGAGAGATAATTTTGACGTAATTTCTTTATCGTTTGTTGTAGGTGGATTTGTGAAGTAGATAGGTTCTTCGATCCCTCTTATCGTGGATTTGGTGGTGCTTGACGGACCAATTTGGGAACTTGTTGAGACCGTACGCCCTCAGGTTAACCATTTGTAATTTGTTTTAATTATCTCGTTGGATCTTAGTGAAAAGAAATTTCATAATTATTGGGTTTACTTATACAATTATTTGGTGGTCTCGTATCATACGTATCGCATAAGTAGTGGATAAATACCTTGGAAAAAATGTATTAGAAAAACATAAGTACTGCATCACATGAAGTGAATAATGCAGTTTCACTTATGCTCGATTGTTGTAGTTAATTTGCAAGAATAGAAAAACATAAGTAAGTGCATCACATAAAGTGAATAATGCAGTTTCACTTATGCTGATTGTTGTAGTTAATTTGCAAGAATAGAAAAACATAAGTAGTGCATCACATAAAGTGAATAATGCAGTTTCACTTATGCTGATTGTTGTAGTTAATTTGTAAGAATAGAAAAACATAAGTAGTGCATCACATAAAGTGAATAATGCAGTTTCACTTATACTGATTGTTGTAGTTAATTTGCAAGAATAGAAAAACATAAGTAGTGCATCACATAAAGTGAATAATGCAGTTTCACTTATGCTGATTGTTGTAGTTAGTTTGCAAGAATGGAGATCCCCGTTGGTAGAATGTGAATGTATTAAAGATTGGATGGTAACAAACATCTAACAAATGAATTTAGAGAAGAAGTGTATAATTTCCTACAATATGTTATTGCTCAACCTATGTTTCAAGAACAAGGTGAAATGTTAAGATGTCCTTGTGTTAAATGTAAGTGTAAAGTTTTCAAGTTTGTTGATCAAGTTGCATGGGATCTTTATCAAGAGAGATTCATGCCTAATTATTATTGGTGGACAAACCATGGTAAAGAGTCGCCGGAATTTCCTGCAGTGGTTGTTAAGAGATCACATGGAACTTTTCAACAAAGGGAAGAATTAGGTCATTTCCATCAAATGATTATGGATCATGTCGGACCGTCACTTGGATACCAACTTCAAACCGAGAGTGAAATTAGAGAAGAGGACATGGCAGAAAACCCTGATCCTGATACTCAAAAATTCTTTGACATGCTTGCTGCTGCGCAAGCACCATTGTGGGAAGGATGTACACATCACTCTGAATTGTCAGCATCTTTGGAAGCTCTAAGCTTGAAATCTGATTATAATATGGCTGAAGGATGTT